TTTTTTTATATTTTATTTTATTGTTTAATTATTTTTTATTTTGTCGTAAAATTATCTTCATTTTTAATAAAGAAAAAATTTACTTACTTCAAGATTAAGTCCACTTGGCGGGAACCACTAACTTTAACTTTACACCTACTACTACTAGGAAAAAGTCTATTTATTTAACTTTGAAAATGATTCTTTATCTGTAACATCAAATCTTTTGATTAGTCTATTTATTTAACTTTGAAAATGATTCTTTATCTGTAAAAGCAAATGGTTAGTTTTCATCTTAAATTTTATCTTTATAATTTTAATTATTTATTATTTATCTTTTATTTTAATTATTTTGTATTTGATTTTTATTTTAAATTAAACACATAAAGACATAGACGACGTCTCGACTTCACTAATATAATTGAAACTTATAATAAATAATTTTTGAATGTATAGAAAGTTATTTTTAATTATTGATAATTTTTAAAATAATAAAAATTAATTTAAAAATGAAATGTAAAAGATATTCCTAAAAACATTTCGGTTGAATTTTTTTTTAAAAAAAACTTTCTTACTAAAGAAAAACTCCAAAACTATTCTTGTGCAAAACATTCATTTTAATTTAAATATACAGAGAATTTTGAAATTAAAAATGTAATAAAAATATAATTATTATAAAATAATAGTGAAATTAAATATCTTACAGGAAGAAAACTATAATAAGAGTAATATTTGTCGTTAATAATAAATAGTTTATTTTACCAAATATAAATAAATGACATACTTTTTTAAAATCAAGAAAAATTATGAGAATATTTATTTTGAATTAAAATATATCATATTTGTATTTTTTTTAATGTGATATGCTATGATAAAATATAAAATATTATTATTTAAAAACATTATAAATTTTTTATAAGAGGAAAATAACAGTTCTTAAAAATATTCTGATTCAAAAATAAAAATTCTAATTTATAACACGTACAAGTGAATAATATTATTCAACAAAAAAAAAAATTGTAATTTGATAATTCTTTCAGTTTACTAGTGCGTGGTAGGATTAAATTTAATATTTTTATATAATAAATTTCAAACTTAATATTTTTACTACAAGTAATTAACAACTCTACCGTATTGTATTTTTTCAATCTTTTGACATCCATGCTGTCATTCTTTTTACTATTGTATTTTGTCTTGATTGAGACTATTCATCTTTTATGCTTTCATTTAATTTAAATTATTGGTTATAACTTTAGAAAAAATCCAGTAGTAAAATTGGCTATGGCTTAGAAAAAAAAATTCAAAATTTGGAGAAAGAGGAGTTTTTATTTTTGTTATTTTTATTATTTTTTAATTATATGGGTAATATATATAATGATATTAGTACAAAATATGTTAAGAATTATTTTTTATATGACTAAATATAGATTTGATACCTTTATTAAAAAAATAGTGAGAAAGTAGTTGATTAGTCGATTTTTGTGTGTGTGTATGTGAAATTGAATAGTAGAATATGATATCATATATTCATAGGTATATAATAATGTCCTAAAATAAATAATAGTTTGTTTTGTGTTTATGAAATAGAATTAATTTATTGATAAGAGATTAGAGTATGAATTGTAGCACAAATTTCACAATTGTTACATGACACACTGTATTTCGTCATAATAAATAAATAATTAATTAAATTAAAAATGTGATATCATTTGATTAACTTTAAAATAATGGAATAATTAAATAAATTAGTTAACGAGTAAAAAAGTAGTTTAACGAATTAACTAAGAAAAAAGTAAAAAAAAATTATAAATACTAAAATAAGATATCCTTTTTTATTAATGATATTGAGATTTCCTTGAGAAATTCAAATTTTGACACCATAGATAATAAGTGCTTTATATATTGCATTTGATGCTTGTTAAATGACTTGACATCATGCCTATATATCGACAATGGCCACCGAATACAAATGACTGCTAGGACGTGAACCCATACGATGCACGTGAGCATTTTAATTATCTATTTTTGTTTTTTTAATTATATTTTATACATCATTTCTTCTTAAATACAAAAGAAAAATGTATAAGAAAATATTGAAAAGAATTAGATCTATACTTAAATATGAGAAAACTTAATTATATAGTGACAATTAATTTTAAAATTTTAATTGTATATAAAGAGTAGAAAAGTCTAAATTATAGTTCACATAGCTACAAATTTTCGAATGCCTGTTTTTCACTATCTTTTGATGCAAAATTGAAGTTACCTCATCAAAGTTTTTAGAAGTCAATTGAAAAAAAAAAATAAACGAATTAGCCCCGGATAAAACTATGGTGACCCTAATAACATCAATTCAACTTGTTGCATATAATAGACTCTTTGCTATAATCACATACAATAAACAATGTGTACTTGCTATGTAATATAATTCATAGATGGTTGAAATGACATGATGCATAGTTTTATTTTTATTTTATTTTGTGCAGCTTGCAACTAAAAATTGTATACCTTCATGTGATTTTGAATCTATAATTAATTCTTCAGTTATTTCTTTGAGTAAAAATAATTCGGAGCTTGTTCTAAATTATTTTGCATTGTAAAAGAATTTATTGAACTCCTTATACATCTGTTATGAAAATTTTATTAAGCAACGAATATATTCGGACAAAATACTATAAGGATATTAAAACAATGAATTCAAATTATCACATTTTTATCTTTAGCGCATAGTACCTATTCTAGAATCAATTTAAAAATACAATTAAATTTAGTCAATATATTTAGCATAAAGAGCAATGCATGACAAATTTTAATCTTATCAAATTTTTTATATATATTGAACTTGAATACTTTTTAAAAATGTTTTTTTTTATAAAAAAAATACTCTTGTTTGAACAAATTATTTTAATATATAATCACACACACATACATACATATATATATATATACATGGATTTAAATTGTTTAATTATTAAAATAACATATTTTTATTTTTACTAGTTATAAAGAGTGATCATTTGAAAACAATATCTCATCTCAATATGTATGTGTACCGTGTACGTGTTTGGTCGTTTTTACAAGTCGACAAAAAATTGAATATAATCCTCAACTTGGTCAAAGTAAGTTTTCCGATTAAAATCATAATCAAAGTTTTAAAATTAGATAGAAGTTTCCTAAATACTTATATGAATTTATATTTAATTATCGTGCTTATTTAGCATATGTTTGATAACATATTTGATGAACTTATAAATTTCTTTAACTAGGTTATAGGCTAGTTTTAATCAAAATAAATTTACTAGATATTTAAAATTTTAAAACTTTTTTCATAAGCTAATTGAAATAATTTATAACTTATAAGTTTTTAGTTTTTCTCTTTTTTTTATTCTCATTAATTTACTTTAAATTCTTTTTAAAACTTTTTTATTTAATTTAGAAATACTTTTGTATGTCATTCTCTCACTTTCATTATCAAATAAATAAATGTTATTTTAAATTAATTAAACTTTATAAAATATAAGTTAATAACTATTGAAATCCTAAATTATATTTTATAAGTTAGTTAATCCAAATAATGTTATATGATTGATTTAGGTCATTAATAGCTTAGTTGAAAACATATATTTTTTCCAACAAATAGTTTACGGTATGAGAAACATTATTTTAACATTATGATTTAAATAAGTAGCAAGTTACCTTTAAATAAGTGAATATGTAGAGAAGTTACATACTCTAGGGTCTAGGCTCTCCTTCCTTTAAAAAAGAGGAGGCGTTGAAATAGAACTTGTCTAGTCTTGCATAACAATGCTTAAGCAGAGGCAGAAAGAAAATGAGTGGGGAAATAGAGTTAGAGGTTGAGGTGGTAGACACAAAATGCATAAAACCATCCACACCCACACCCCCACACCTCAAAACCTTCAAACTCTCTCTACTGGACCAGCTTTCCCCTAACATCCATGGCAACATCACCCTCTTCTACCCTCGCACTCACACAAACACACTTCACTTCCACGCCAAATCCCAACTCCTTCAAACCTCCCTCTCCCAAACCTTAACCCGCTTCTACCCCCTCGCCGGACGCCTCCACAACGCCGCCACCGTCCACTGCAACGACCACGGCGCCACCTTCATCCAAACCCGAACCCACGCCACCCTCTCCGACATCCTCACACCCCCAAACTTCCACACCCTCCAACGCCTCCTTCCATCTTCCCACGACCAAACCCTAACAACCTCATCATCAAACGCTCCCATTCTCCTCGTCCGCTTCACCTCCTTCCGCTGCGGCGCCGTCGCTCTCACCATTTCTCTCTCTCACAAGATCGCCGACATAGCCGCCCTCGTCGCTCTCCTCCAAACATGGACCGCCGCCTTCACCGCCGCCACCGCGCCTCCTCTCCCCGAACTCGGCGCCGGCGCCGCTCTCTTCCCTCCGAGAGACATTCCCGGCGTGTCCGCTTCCGTGAAAACCGTCTCCTCCCAGAAGTTTACTTCCACAAGGCTCGTTTTCGACGCCTCCAAGGTTAGAGAGCTAAAGGACAAAGTGAAAAGCGCGCTCGAAGTTCGAGGACACGAAGGTTCCGTGTTTGAGCCTTCGAGAGTGGAGGTTGTTCTGTCGCTCATTTGGAAATGCGCCTTGTCGGCTTCTCGCTCCAAAACGGCGTCGTTCACGCGTTCGGTTATGTTCCAGGCGGTGAACCTCCGTCCCCGGATGGATCCAGCGGTGGCGGACGCCGCCGTGGGAAACTTCGTGTGGCCGTTCGTGGTGACGGCGGAGGAGGAAGGGCACGTGGAGCTGCACGTGCTGGTGAGGAGGATGAGGGAGAGTATGAGGGAGTTTTTGGAGACGAAGGCAGAGAGGTTCAAAGAGGGTGGTGGTTTTGGAGTGGTGATGGAGAGTTTGAAGGAGAGGGGTGAAGTTAGCAAAAAGGGTGGTGTGGTTTATAAGTGTTCGAGTTGGTGTAAGTTTCCACTGCTTAAGGTTGATTTTGGTTGGGGTGAGCCTGTGTGGACGTGCAGTGTCAATAATATTGTGAGTAACACCATTGCTTTGATGGATACTAAAGATGCTGCTGGGGTTGAAGCTTTTGTCACTCTTGATCACCATGAAATGGATCTCTTTCAACAACACCACGAGCTGTTGCATTATGCTTTCATTAACCCTACTCTTATACTCTGACTCTCTCATATATCTTGTCTATCACTATTTTTTTTTTTTTAGTTTCTTTGTTGTATTAAACTTTGGGGAGTTAAATGTTTGAACAACATACGAAGTTCAATTGAATATGAAATGTTATTCTAAGATCATACTATAAAGTAACCAACTCCCATATGCTTATGTACATGTTACGTATATTTTTTAGTATTATATCATGGATCTCGATCATTTTATTCTCTTTTTTTTCTTCAATAAATTAACTATGTATATGTATTTTTTTTTTGTAAAAAAAAACTACATGGATGTATAGAGTTGTTGCCTTGTTGAAAAAAGGAGAGATAACTTGTCAAACTCTCCCTAAAATCCAGTTACCTAACACGGATACTATTGGTTTGCTATTGTTATATATGATCATATTAAGTCGACTAACATTTGCTTATGTATATATATTTTTGTTTCCGTAAACTTTGTAGCATAATTTCATTTTAAACTTGTTTCATTAAAGCGACTAAAATGTATATTCAATATAACTTGTCAAACTCTCTCGCTCCCCCAGAAAAACTATACACGCATAAATCTAAAAGATAAATTAGTGAGAGATGTCAAATTAAGAAGAATATATATATATATATAAGAAAATTTTTATAAATTTTTATCTAGTTCAATTTTTATTTATCTTATTACTTATAAATTATATTTTAATATTTTTAAAATAAATTATCAATAAATAAAAATAATATTATATTATCAGAGATAGACAGCACCGCAACAGCTAAACTGATGAGAGAAGTACAAAGATGCCTAGATTATGATTGAAATCAGACATTGGAGTAATCAACTACAAAAAAAGACTTCACGTATACCAGCAAAAATTTAATGCAAGATCAAATGCATTAAATGAAGAGATTCACATGGCCATGAACAAGCTTCCATCTGCAACGAAATGAAGCTACGCTCCAATGGGAAAATTTGAATTCAAACAACAGACAGATTTACTAAATGGTTATAAGTATCAAGGCAAAGAAAAAAAAAAGAGAACGAAGAAGTAGAGAAAACGTGCAATAAGAAAAAGAAAGCGAAAAAGTCTAAGCTATATTTCTTCTGAAAGCATTTCCTGTATATCTGTGTAAAAACTAAGATAGCTTATCTTAGTGAGTGTTGTTAATAGTCTATCCTCTCTACGAGAGTAAACAAACACTTAGACACTTATTTTTCAGAAACTAAGGTTACGCACCTTAGTGAGTGTAGAAACTACCCTATCCTCTCTGTGAGAGTTGCAAATGCACTCAACACCTTTATTTGCTGTAAAGCCTGAAAAGACTGATAGAAAGTGTACTTGTGAACCAGAAGTGGTTGAGAATACTAGTGCTAGTAAGTGAAGCTAGCGGGCCAGAAGTGGTCAAGAATACATGGAGAACTAGAAGTGGTTAAGAATACTAGCGTTGACAAGTGAAGTTGACGAGCCAGAAGTGGTTAAGAATACTTGTAATCCTTTGTGATTAGTGGAACCCTTCAGTTGAAGGAGATTGGACGTGGCTCAGATTAAGTGAACCAGTATAAACATTTGTGCATATTTTTTTTCTCACTACTGACTTTGTTTTCATCCATTCTTTTTTCAAAAAACCGACAAATTTACTAAATGGATATAAGTATCAAGGCAAAGAAAAAAAAGGAGAACGGAGAAGTAGAGAAAACGTGCAATAAGAAAAAGAAAGTGAAAGAGTCTAAGCTACATTTCTTCTCAAAGCATTTCCTGTATATCTGTGTAAAAACTAAGATAGCTTATCTTAGTGAGTGTTGTTATTAGTCTATTCTCTCTACGAGAGTAAACAAACACTTAAACACTTATTCTTGGGAAACTAAGGTTACGCATCTTAGTGAGTGTAGAAACTACCCTATCTTCTCTGAGAGAGTTGCAAACGCACTCAACACCTTTATTAGCCGTAAAGCATGAAGAGGCTGATAGAAAGAATACTTGTGAACCATAAGTGGTTGAGAATACTAGCACTAGTAAGTGAAGCTAACAGGCCAGAAGTGGTCAAGAATACATCAAGAACTAGAAGTAGTTAAGAATACTAGCATTGCCAAGTGAAGTTGACGAGCTAGAAGTGGTTGAGAATACTTGTAATCCTTTGTGATTAATTAGTGGAACCCTTCGTTTGAAGGAGACTGGACATAGCTCAGATTGAGTGAACCAGTATAAACATCTGTGCATTTTTTTCTCACTATTGACTTCGTTTTCATCCATTCTTTTTTCAACAAACTAACAGATTTACTAAATGGCTATAAGTATCAAGGCACAAAACAAAAAGGAGAACGAAGAAGTAGAGAAAACGTGTAATAAGAAAAAGAAAGCGAAAGATTCTAAGTTACATTTCTTTTCAAAGCATTTCCTGTATATCTGTGTAAAAACTAACATAGCTTATCTTAGTGAGTGTTGTTAATAGTCTATCCTATCTACGAGAGTAAACAAACACTTAGACACTTATTCTTCGGAAACTAAGGTTACGCACCTTAGTGACTATAGAAACTACCCTATCCTCTCTGTGAGAGTTGCAAACGCACTCCACATCTTTATTTACTCTAAAGCCTGAAGAGGCTGATAGAAAGAATACTTGTGATCCAGAAGTGGTTGAGATTACTAGCGCTAGTAAGTGAAGCTAACGGGCCAGAAGTGGTCAAGAATACTTGGAAAACTAGAAGTGGTTAAGAATACTACCACTGATAAGTGATGTTGACGAGCCAAAAGTGGTTGAGAATACTTGTAATCCTTTGTGATTAGTGGAACCCTTCGGTTGAAGGAGATTGGACGTAGCTCAGATTGAGTGAACCAGTATAAACATTTGTGCATATTTTTTTTCTCACTACTCACTTCATTTTCATCCATTCTTTTTTCAACAAACTGAAAGATTTACTAAATGGCTATGAGTATCGAGGTAAAGAAAAAAAAAGGAGAATGGAGAAGTAGAGAAAACGTGCAATAAGAAAAAGAAAGCGAAAGAATCTAAGCTACATTTCTTCTCGAAGCATTTCCTGTATATCTGTGTAAAACTAACATAGATTATCTTATTGAGTGTTGTTAATAGTCTATCCTCTCTACGAGAGTAAACAAACACTTAGACACTTATTCTTGGGAAACTAAGGTTATGCACCTTAGTGAGTGTAGAAGCTACCCTATCCTCTCTGTGAGAGTTGCAAACGCACCCAACACCTTTATTTGTTATAAAGCCTAAAGAGGCTGATAGAAAGAATACTTGTGAACCAGAAGTGGTTGAGAATACTAGTGATAGTAAGTGAAGCTAGCGTGCCAAAAGTGGTCAAGAATACTTGGAGAACCAGAAATGTTTAAGAATACTAGCGTCGACAAGTGAAGTTGGCGAGCTAGAAGTGGTTGAGAATAGTTGTAATCCTTTGTGATTAATCGAACCCGTTGGTTGAAGGAGACTGGACGTAGCTCAGATTGAGTGAACCAGTATAAACATCTATGCATATTTTTTTTCTCACTACTCACTTCGTTTTCATCCATTCTTTTTTTTAACAAACTGTTAGACGAAAACACAACTGCTTATCTTGTTAAGAAACAACTCTTTTTATTGGACGATAAAACCTTTTAGACAGAAAACAAACTCACTCAACTTGTTTCTTGAAATAGATGATCAATTTTGTTAGACAAATTTTTAATCAAACAAGGTTGCACAAGTTTTTCAACCGTGATTGAACACTCTATTCACTAAAAAATTATCGTTGCAAAGCAACTTTGAAAAATCTACCTTTAGAACATGCACACATACATTCAACCCCCTTTCTGTGTGTATTTCCACTAACTTCATCCATAAGTGGCTTGTAAAGAATACTTGTATCTTGGATAAGATAGTGGAACTCAATCTAGTTAGATTGAGAACTGTATGTAGTCTTTGGGTAAGAGATGAACCAATATAGAAATACTTGTCGCATTTTATCTACTTCATTACTTCGTTTGATTACTCTCTAGTACTCCGTCTGTTAGTACTCTTCACTCCTTCACTGCAAAAAAGCACAAGTTTTTGATATACACTATTCAACCTCCTTCTAGTGTGTATCTTTTTCTCCAAAAATTTGTATCAATGCTCAGGCTTTGACGGGGTTGAGCATCTAATAGTTCCAAAGGAAAAGATTAACACTGCGCACGTGCAGGTACAATTCGGTATATATTCTCCATGAATAAAATAGAAAAATAAATAACGAGGTTTCTCAACGACCGTCATCAACCTATAACTCAACTATAATTTATGGCAGTGGGGTCAGCCCAATCACAAAATCCAAAAGAAAAAAATAATAATAATTAAGAAGAAGTGAACAAGAAGATTGCAAATGCAGAAGGAGAGAAGGCAGCATGAACATTTACGTACTTAACTAAAGAACTTAGATTAAAAGTGGTGTATATTAATACTAGCTAGAAACCAAGAAGCAAGAAACAAGAAAAAGGAAAGAAATTAAAGCAATAGTGTAAGATGAAGATGAGTATTAATTATGTGTCGTTACCCAAGATGCCAAAAATGACGGCCAGACTAAGAGTGGCCATGGTGGTTTTAGGGGTTGTGACTTGTGAGGAAACCTTAGTTGGGTTTCTTCGAAACAAACCCCTCAATCTCTCGTGCAGGCACAATGAGAGGATGCTGAGTTTCTTCCAAATTCACAATGAGAATGTGTTGATGAAGCAAGTCATGTATTTATACACACAAGGACGTGACTTGAAATGCGAGGAGAGAAGAAAAAAGGAAACAAAAAGAAAATAACAAAGCAGCCAAATAGGGAAAAATATAGCACAAAGCATGTATTGATATTATTGGTGAGGGGAATAAGGCAGTAGTGCGTAATCAAGTCATTCAGGCTTCATGAGGGATTAATCTTTTTAGTAGGTAGGCAAAACCATTTTGCCTTGCCAACTCAGGAATCTCCACGTGGCACATGGTTTTTGTTCGTCAGGAAACTAAGATCCATGTAAAATTTTGAACCGCATCTACAAGGCTGTGACACGTGCCGTGCAAATGGTACTTGTGTATCGCATACTCAATGCATATTGTGCAATAATGTTTGGAATTGCTCATCTCTTGTGGAATATTAATGTAACGTATTTGATGAGGAAGAAAAAGAAAGAATTGCACAACTGCTTTTCATGATGTCATGGCATGTCGCATGGAATAATTCTTGGCATTCTACAAGTTGATAAGACATAAGATATATTACCT